GTCACACGTGCTTTCTTAGCTGACCGATGAGACTTGACACCTTTGTAAAAACATCTGAAAGAAACTTAGTGATCAGTTGCGAAACGAACACGGGTTATAATATCCAGAAACGCTATATGTATATATTTTAACATTTGAATGTAACAGAGCCATGTGACGTCGAATAAGTTTATTTGTACAGCTGCAGACGTATGGGATATTGTTCCTGCATGTGAATATTCACGGATACATTCCTCGAACAAGGAAGCTGCCCAAATGTATACATAAAACTGCGGTGGGTCGTAATTATGATATTTACATTTTGTTTTCATTCATTTGCTGTTGCATTGGATAGAATCAGTTTTGTTCTTCTTGTACCTGTAGGCGTGTATACATGTATATTACACTCAATGTGTAAAAAGTGATTCACTCAGGCAATTTATAAAATGTCTAAATATTTCAGTAATATAGAAATTGACTGAATCCAAGTCCAGATTGACTAACAATTTTTAAGAGGTTCAAAAGGGCTTAAAAATAGACTATTTATCCTAGTATTAGAGTGAGTGAGTGTGTTTGTTTTTACCCCCCTTTTAGCACTATTTCAGCAATAACCACTAGGCTACCCGACCGCCCCGCTAGTATTAGAAGCCAAAACTATAGAAACGTACTTTGAATTTTGTTTTCTTTTAATCCTATCATTTTTAGTCACTGGGTGATGAAATTGACCGATTTTCAGTCAATTTGTAAAATAACTGAATATTTAGGCGTTGCAAAAATTGCCTTCGTGAAACTTTATACATTTTGGCTAAACAATATACCCACAATGAAATACTATCAATAAAAGCGATACATGCGCTTACGAATGGCGCAGCACAGGTCGCGAACTAGTCTTGATATCTGCCATATCACCCGGATACTCACGGGGGAGGTTGGGTGGGGGCGGGGAGGGGGGGGGGGACAATAACTAAGGCAACACCCAGTCTCGGGGCATTTCTGTAGATCAGTGTCCCTTTAAAATGAGAGGAAACCTTCCATTGTAGGTTTCTGGCACATCCAAGGGACGCAACTCTACACAACGAATTGCGACAACTCAGACGACTGAGCCCCACGATGACTGTATAGGAAATCAGCACAAAAACACGAGAACGCGAGATCGCGACACTTGTCCAATGTCGCAATCTCGAGTTCTCGCGTTCTCGTGTTTTTGAAAATAGTAACATATAACTGTATAGGCAATTAGCACAAAAACGCGAGAACGCGAGATTGCGACATTGGTCAAGTGTCGCGATCTCGCGTTCTCGCGTTCTCGTGTTTTTGAAAATAGTTACATATAACTGTATAGGCAATCAGCACAAAAACACGAGAACGCGAGAACGCGAGAATGCGACATTGGTCAAGTGTCGCGATCTCGCGTTATCGTGTTTTTGTGCTAAATGCCTATACAGTTATATGTAACTATTTTCAAAAACACGAGAACGCGAGAACGCGAGAATGCGACATTGGACAAGTGTCGCGATCTCGCGTTCTCGTGTTTTTGTGCTTATAGCCTATACAGTTGTATGTAACTATTTTCAAAAACACGAGAACGCGAGATTGCGACATTGGTCAAGTGTCGCGATCTCGCGATCTCGCGTTCTCGTGTTTTTGTGCTAATTGCCTATAGAGTTATATGTAACTATTTTCAAAAACACGAGAACGCGAGATTGGTCAAGTGTCGCGATCTCGCGATCTCGCGTTCTCGTGTTTTTGTGCTAATTGCCTATACAGTTGTATGTAACTATTTTGTAAGGTAATTCGTCACGGTAAACTCGCGTGCAACGGCGTGAACTGAGGTGCGCACGAACCATTGTATCAAACATCTTTAAGACACTGCTTATTACTGTCTACAAACTCAAAAAGTTGGAAGAATGATGTTGGATGATGAATAAAATCTCACGCTCGTGTCTTTTGACATCAAAACGACGAAATAAACCACAAGGTTCATAGAAATTTCTGCTTTGCAAATTAATGCAGTTTATTTCAAAATGGCTGCTCAAAATCACGTGACTTTTGACAATGTCAGAATGCACATTTTCCAAGTCTTTTGATTATACAGAAATATATATGTAGACTGGTAACATAATAAAGTCAAGAACACGCTCCCTTTCTTGCCTGTGAACTGACTGAATTTGACAAATATTGTCTGACAACTAACAGTCAAATAACCAACATGGATGCCTAATGGTATTTTTCAGAAAGATTTTGTTTGTTTGTTGTTAACACCGCACTCAGCAATATTCCAGCTATATGACGGCGGTCTGACATCAAATATATAAACACTCATTTGGGTGGCCCAGTCGTCTAAGGCGCTTCGATTCTCTGTGCAGAGTTGCGTCAGTTGGGCACGCCCGAAACCTATGATTGTGGGTTCGAATCCCGGTCTGCCCTGATTATGTTTCTTGTTTCACCATACCCGTTCTCGTGGGCTTCATCGAAGAGGTAAACGTCTGAGACCTGCATCACTTCGGGCTTTCCTCTCATATTAAGCTGACACGCTGTGATATAACTGGAATACTGATAAAAGCAGTGTTAAACCCAACTCTCGCACTTACTCTATAGATGACTACGCGTTTAATCGCTAAGAACATCGAAGAACGAAGCGGGATGTATTGTACAATTAATCATGGCCTCATTTCTGATGATTCGATTGTGATCTTGTAACATTATAACGCAGTGAGTGACGACGTTAATTGTGAGAGGGAAGTGACCGTCAGGTTGCTCTCCATGGATGTTGTGGCACTTCTATCGTAATGGCGGCTGCATGAAGACGATAAACATCCCAGTGTCACCCATAGGGTACGGGTAATTAATATGTTTGTCGTGTCTCGAAATATGAATTGTAATTAGTGTATCGTGCCAAATATATGGTGAGTTACTGAATAAATACAGCAGTTTCAAGAAAGTGGTAATTGTATTTATAATGTTAAGTGTATTTTACAACATGGACCAGGTTTATATTGTATCTTATGAGTGATGTCGGGATCGAGTTATCGCCCTTGATGAATTGTTTGTTTATTATAGGGTTAAGATAATGATTTTGTATATCATTGATTATTAAGTTCATGTTCATGTACAGAATATAGACGTATGTTTATATGAACTGAATGATTGTGTGAATATGTATGTGTATGAAACCTATGCAGTATTGTTTTTATAATGTTATTGTTTTGTACATTAAAGGATGTCATTATCTACTCTGGCAATAAACACTCACACCCGTAGCCTATGTTTGAAATTGTATTTTTCTTCACAATCCCCGGTTACAATATGACAATCGGTTTTGGGAGAAAAGGTACGTGTAATCGACCTGAGGATTGTGTGAGCATATGCGGGAAATACCCGCCTTAAATAGGGGTAAATATTTTTAAACCTTGTACATTTTATCAACATCCTTAAAGAGGCTGTACATAATGTTGATATATCATATAATCATTAAACGACTCGTGGTTGTTGTTTATTGTACAATAAAACACTAGCCCCTCATGGTTTATTCTCCCTGCAGTGTTTTATTGTACTCCCACTCGTCGTTTATTTCTTTAACAGTGGCCCGCTCATTTATGATAACATGCGGGCGGTTTAATGATAATTTTATCCATTTTAACTATAAAATAATGTAAAGCGGGATGTTTTGTAGTCAGGTTGGAGCGGATGAAAATATGATAATTAATTTTGTATTTCAAATTGGTCTATGAGAATTATGCCTTTCATGAATATGCTAGCCGTGTATAACATTGCCTCATGGAGAAACTCACTGGCCTGTGATTATTTCTGTAACTGTAGTACAGCTGGTGCGGCTTTAAGCAATATTACTCACTCACTGACGGTAATAGTTTTGTTTCCAGCTTTCGGACACATTAATGTTTTCACTATCATTGGACATTCATGTACACAATTTCTTTTGTTAAATTATATTGAGCATGTTGAGGGTTTTATCATAAAGAACATAGGAAACTGTAACAACGGGAGATGACTCAGACTTTGTGTATGTAAATTACATAGCACTTTCAAGCTCAAGTCATAAGTTTGCTAAATGCTACTTGGAGAATGAAGAGCACGAAAGAAGCATGACCAAAGGACTTCTAACGTGCGCATGGGCCTTGACCTTGTGATATTACGCATGCGCACGGACAGCGTCTAAAACGCGAGAACACGAGAACGCGAGAACGTGAGAAAATGAAATGTCGCATTCTCGCGTTCTCGCGATTTCGTGTTTTTGTGGCCTAATTTGACAAGTCGAGATTGCGAGATTGCGAGATTTTGCATCATGTCCAAATGTCGCATTCTCGCGTTGTCGACTTTTGACAAAAAGTGCTATGTACCAAAAACACGAGAATGCGAGATCGCGAGAACGCGAGATTTTGGCCAAATCTCGCGTTCTCGCGATCTCGCATTCTCGTGTTTTGGGCATATTTACCTCGTTTCCAAAGGTCGAGATCGCGAGAATGTCCCTTACAGTATTCCATAGATGGCAGTGTTCAGTATCAAATTAAAAAAATACATTGGTGATAGCAAAAGTCAGTGATAATAATATATATTCACTCCGCGGCTACAGTGGTCAAGCTTCCGGCTGGGCATCGAATCTGGAATGATGAGCGACCCTCACATGAAAGCTGGTAACGAAGCGATGAAAATGCATGAGAGATCCGTAAACACGCGCTTGTCCCACTGTGCGTATACTGTACTCGTATATGCAGCCTAATAAGCGACTGGAAGTTGCTATACCGTGCCCTCACCAGTCGAGCAGCACAAGAACATTACAGAACTTTCCGTATGTTTCTATAACATACTATCACCGCCCGCGGTATACCGAACTGGATGTTTACACACCACACTAGCATCTAAACATAGTAACTTCCTGATGACTGATCACTGTCCAAACACAATGCGTTGAGCGTCTACCGAATTTCAACCCAAAACAATGTCACACAGTTACAACCATTGTCAAATACAATGTCATATAACAGTGTGCAGTGTATGTCCAGGAACGACCAGAGAAACTCTGAGAGGATGTCAAGCGACGGTTACGAGCTGTACTACTGGGACGGAAAGTATGTTGGGCCGGGCCGGGCGGAGTTTGCTCGCCTCCTGTTCGTTGAAGCAGGCGTCCCCTACAAGGATATATCTGAGGGCATCATGGAGAAGTTCAGGCAGGCCGATCAACAGTGGACTGGATTCCCGACCTTCGCTGTCCCGTTGTTGAAGAAAGGTATTTCAGCTTTTCTGTTTTAATATAGCACCCTGTTGTAAAGTATGTTATCTTGAAGTCAAGACCTATCACTAAGTAAGCCTTATCTCAAGGTAATCCTCATCTCGAAGTAAGCCCTATGTCGAAGTTAATCCTGTCTCGAGGTAAATCTTATCTTGAAGTAAGCCCTATCTCGAAGTAAGTCCTATCTCGAGGTGAGTCTTATCTCGAGGTAAACCTTATCCCGAAGTAAGCCCTATCTCGAAGTAAGTCCTATCTCGAGGTAAGCCCTATCTCGAGGTAAGCCTAATCTCGATCTAAGCCCTATCTCGAAGTAAGTCCTATCTCGAGGTAAGCCCTATCTCAACGTTAGCCCTATCTCGAAGTAAGCCCTATCTCAACGTGAGCCCTATCTCGTAGTAAGTCCTATCTCGAGGTAAGTCTTATCTCGAAGTAAGCCCTATCTCGAAGTAAGCCCTATCTAAACGTGAACCCTATCTCGTAGTAAGTCCTATCTCGAAGTAAGTCCTATCTCGAGGTAAGTCTTATCTCGAGGTAAGCCTCATCTCGATCTAAGCCCTATCTCGAAGTAAGTCCTATCTCGAGGTAAGCCCTATCTCAACGTTAGCCCTATCTCGAAGTAAGCCCTATCTCAACGTGAGCCCTATCTCGTAGTAAGTCCTATCTCGAGGTAAGTCTTATCTCGAAGTAAGCCCTATCTCGAAGTAAGCCCTATCTAAACGTGAACCCTATCTCGTAGTAAGTCCTATCTCGAAGTAAACCCATTCTGCCAACTGGATATTGGGTATTGTACTTTTCACAGCACCTTGATAACACCTCAAGGAATAGGCCGCGAGATGGGAGTTTGCAGTTTTTGTCTGCATGTTCATGTTCAATGTGAGTCCATGGACCTGCACTAGTCTCGTATGTTCTACTTACCAGTATTTTCCTTCTATTTACATGTGCCACGTACCTGTTCAATTTACCTGTATGTTCAATACATTTGTATGTACAAATTAACCCGTATGTCCAGTTCAGTGTATAAGTTCAGTTTACATGAATGTCAAAGACCCGTGAAGATCCGGGTTAAAATAGGTCTTCAGCAACCCATGCTTCCCGTGAAAAGTTGACCATGCTTGTCGAAAGAGGCGTCTAACTGGATCGGGTGGTCAGGCTCGCTGACTTGGTTGATGCATGTCATCGTATCCCAATTGCGTGGACCGATGCTCATGATGTCAATCACTGGATTGTCTGGTCCAGACTCCAGACTTTATTATTTACAGACCACCGCCATATAGCTGGAATACTGCTTAGTGCGGCGTTAAACAAACAAGCAGCAACAACCAATATACCTGCATGTTCAATCTATCTATCTGTTCAATACAAACATACCTCCGGTCTACCTTTATGATGTAAACGCTTGTATGTTCTCGTATATCTGTTTTGAACATACCTCTGTGTTCAATGTACCTGTGAGGGGGGCACGGGTGGCCCAGTCGTCTAAGGCGCGGCGATTCGCTGTGCAGAGTTGCGTCCCTTGGGCACGCGAGAAACTTATGATTGTGGGTTCGAATCCCGGTTCTCCCCAATTATATTTCTAGGTTTGTCAGCACCATACCCGTGCTCGTGGGTTTCAACGAAGTGGTAAACGTCTGAGACCTGCATCACTTCGGGCTTTCCTCCCACATTAAGCTGACACGACGTGATATAACTGGAATACTGTTAAAAGCGGCGTTAAACCCAACTCACTCACTCATTCAATGTACCTGTATTATGTCCCGTATCCCGGCATGTTTCAGGCAGCTTCGAGATTTCCCAGACACCTGTAATTTGCCGCTACCTGGGGAAGCAGTTTGGTCTGTTCCCTGACAATGAGGAAGACCAGTGGCATGCGGAACAGCTCAACGCCACCATCCACGACTACATCGCCGAGGGTACTTTATCGCTATGTCTGCCATCACCACGTGTTTCTCAGTTTGCACCAAGTTAGAGCAGGAACCGGCAATCGCGAGCCGGATACTTGTCTTGTAGTAAGATACGATAATTGAGGATTCGATGGCCAGAATGGATGATCAGTACGGTGGAGATTGATGGCAATATGAACACACGGGATCGAACTATATCTTCCACTGACTGTGTCTATGTCTGGGAACGCGAAAAGTACTGCGAGGGACCCCAACAAACATTGCAAGGATATTTACTTTTTTAGCGAGTATGCAACCGAGCGTAGAGCGAACGCAATCTGTATATATTTTTTACCGCATCTGCAGCTGATTGCAGTAAATATACCTCGACTTAAGTGAGAAAAGAGTAGGAAAGGAATATACAGAGGTTTGGATCACTGTTTTAAAGAAATATAGTTGGTTGTTTATAACAATTAGATGTCACAAAAGTTTATTTGAGCTGGCTCTAGCGAGAGAGAGAGAGAGAGAGAGAGAGATTACTACACGAGTGTCTGTCAGATACCTTGTCTCTTACAACTCGTTTCAAAACGTATCTGACGAGCGATATCGAGTTAGATACGCTTTGAAAAAACAACGAGTTGTAAGTTAGTAATTTAGTAATAGTGATTGGTAATGTATCAAAAATGGCCTGATTTGCGATGTACCTAATTTTCAGAGGTCACATTCAGTAATTTTGCTTTACCTAAAATGACAGTGGACAGAAAAGGGATTGACTTGTGATGCGTGCATGCTGTATTTTGAATGTTATTTGACTTCGAAGTGATGGTAGATGAAAGACATATATGTCGTTGTGACATCCAGGGGGTCACATTAAAAAAACATAACGTTCGACACAGACGTAGGTGAACATTCGACTGAAGCACGAGTAACTTAGCAATGACTTACGATAAGGAAAGTAGTCCGTCATAATCTGACCTCAGGTCCTCACCGAGTAGGAGTAGCCAATCACAGGATGGAATTCGATCTCACACATATGTTTGATACCAGTTGTCTCAAATGGGCTTCCTACCACAGGTGTGTAGGAAGTAATATAAACACACAATCGCAAATCGATTAGCATGGCATATCCCGAGGTTTTCCGAGTGGTCGTCGAGATCGTTGATACCAAAGTTCTGCAAAGCGATTTCTTACTCCCTGGCGATTTGGTCGAACGTGGCATGCGCTATAATGACGTCCTTCTCACATTGACTAGTTCCGGGTGCATTTGCGCTGCGGAACATTTATCAAGTCAATAGGTGTATTCCTATTGTCTATTTTTTTCCCTGTTGTAATGGTTTGACACCCACAACCTTAGGACAACAGTGTCTGTCACACTTGTGGAATTTGTACACATATTTGTCAGGATTGGGATGTAGTAAGCAACTCGCAAATGTGATATTGCTCATGTCATTATACGAGTTATAAATATCTGACATTTAAACTCTTTTTGCGAATGTTACTTCGGCAGTCAAAATCTGTCGAAAAGTTGGCCGCAAATAGGCCTTACTGTGTCCGAAACACCCTTTAATATTTACTACTACTACTTCTACTACAATTACTACGACGACGACTGCTATACTACTCCTACTACTACTACCTCTACTACTACTTCTACTACCTCTACTACTACTACAACTACAACTACTACTACAACTACTACTACAACTACTGCTACTACTACTACTATTACAGCAACTAGGGGGCACGGTAGGCCCAGTCGTCTAAGGCGCCGCGATTCGCTGTGCAGAGTTGCGTCCCTTGGGCATGCCAGAAACCTATTATTGTGGGTTCGAATCCCGGTTCGTCCCGATTGTTTCCGATGTTTCTAGGTTTGTCAGCACCATACCCGTGCTCGTGGGTTTCACCGAAGTGGTAAACGTCTTAGACCTGCATCACTTGGGGCTTTCCTCCCACATTAAGCTGACACGCCGCGATATAACTGGAATATTGTTAAAAGCGGCGTTAAATCCAACTCACTCACTCACTACTACAATAACTACTACTACTACTACTACTACTACTACTACTACTACTACTACTACTATTATACGGGGCGGTCGGGTAGCCTAGTGGTTAAAGCGTTCGCTCGTCACGCCGAAGACCCGGGTTCGATTCCCGACATGGGTACAATGTGTGAAGCCCATTTCTGGTGACCCCCGCCGTGATATTGCTGGAATATTGCTAAAAGCGGCGTAAAACCAAACTCACTCACTCACTCACACTACTATAATACGATGGTGACACTGTTGGCAGGTCGCTATGCCTTCCACGGCATCAAACCCTTCGAATCCTACTTCGGCCAAGAGAAGGAAACACAGCCATATATTGACCGATTTCTGGCAGAGAGACTGCCCAAGTATATGAAGCATTTTGAGAAGATGCTAGCAGCTAATGACGACGGAAGAAGGTGAGATTTAACACACGTGGAGTCAATACAAATTAGACCCGTGAAGATAGAATCGGGTAGAATACGTCTTTCCAACCCATGCTTGCCGTGAAAAGTGACTATGCTTGTCGTTAAAGGCGACTCACGGGATCGGGTGGTCAGGCTCGCTGACTTGGTTGATAGATGTCATCGTATCCCAATTGTCAAAGTCAGAATACTTCTTTGCCGCAGAGGCAAAGACCCCGATTACTTTCAGACCGCCGTCACGTACTGACTGCGGCGTTAAAACAGAAACACCAACAAACGAAATGTATGTGTATACACCATTTGTATATTCTTCGTTTCAGTTTTGTTGTGGGAGGCAAAGTGACCTATGCTGACCTAGGCCTGCTTCACGTGCTGAGGGCGACGGCCGCGCAGTTCCCTGAAGCCTGGGCCGCTGTTGATTATGCCCCTTTGGTGAAGGCCTTCAAGGAAAGAATGGAAGCAAGGCCGAACCTGGCTGCTTACTTTAAATCGGAAAAGTGTATTCCGTTTTCGGGCAATAGTATGATGTAGCGAGACTGATATAGTCGTTTATAGCAGCATACCAATATGAAATAATGTTTAGCAAAATATGTTTATACAGAGTGTTTTTTTATGTTTTACTATCACATTTTTTTATATAAATTTGCGTTTTGCAAAACCCAGATAGTTAATGTTGACCGTAGCTGATATAGTCTCTGGACGCCAAGCTACACAGCACGTGGAAACATGGAAACTAATACTAGGTTCAAGCCATAGAAATAGTCGGCATTCATACAGCTTTGAATAAGAGACGACCTCATTGTATACTAAGTATTTTGTTACTGGATGGTAAGTGGCCCAGTCGTCTTAGGGAACATCCATTTGATTTGAAGGGGGGAGGGGTGGGGGAAGTGAGAGAGATCTTTGAGAACAATCTGTGTTCTATAATCCTAGCTATATCCAAAAAACTGCACCATCGATTAATCTATCAAGTCATGTTCACTGTTAAAACAGAAATGACGTTTGGGTATTTTCCACACAATAACATATTCATTTTTCTCACCACTGCCATCCAACTCTTAACCCTACTGCTGATAAAGATATAAAGATTTTAACCCTTTCGGCGTCCAGGCTAAGGATTATCTTGAAACACAAATCTACTGAATATCACGAATGCATTGATGCTGATAAATTTCTATGAAGTGATATTTGGATAAAGAAATATTTATTGGGATTAAACGAACTGAAAAAAGGTAAATCGCCCGGAATAGACGGACTACCCGTTGAAGTATTCCCAGATACGTGTGTCTTGTTGCTACCTCTGATAAGAAACCTATTTAACCGCCAGTCTCATTAAAATCAGATCTTTGTTTAGCGGTAGCGAGAACTAAAATAATTTGTTATTGAGATTGTTTAATGGTTATCTTGACTCTTGACTATTTCCTGAACACCAATCAGAGGTGAGGTGAGGTGAAATGGTATTTAACGTTGCGTCCAAGATTATTGCACTTATATAGCGACGTGCATGCACGTGTATGTGTGTGTGTGTGTGTGGCTGCTTGTACTAGTCCGGACTGATGCCGATTTATAGTGCTAGCACACTGAGATACCATGCCGCAGATTAACATGAATACCCCACTCAGTCACAGTATACTGACTCCGAGCCGACCAGTCCTTGTTTTAGCCCCTTAATGCCGAGCAGACAGGGTAACAACAAGTACTATATTTTATCGTCTTTTGGTATGACGCGGCTGGGGATCGAACCCCGGACCTTCCGCTCTCCGGGCGGACGTTCTACCATTAGATCACGGAGGCGGTCTAACACCAATCAGACGATAAGAATGAATCAAATAAATACAGAGGTTAGTATTACTGAACACTTTAAATACAACAGTCACTACGATAATAGACAACCATTTTAAAACTTAAGTCTTGTTTTACGCCGCTTCTAGCAATATTCCAGCAATATCACGCCGGGGGACACCAGAAATGGGCTTCACGCATTGCACCCATGTCGGGAATCGAACCCGGTCTTCGGCGTGAGCGAACGCTTTAACCACTAGGCTACCCGACCGCCCCCATTAGTAAGTACAAAGGTGGATATTATTACTGTGTAGTTCGTACACAATTCTGTACGTATATACTAAATATTGGTTAGAGACCTGTGCACAAAGTTATATTTTCAAAATGTGGTCCTCTCCGTGTATGGATGTATCTCGGTTCTTGAGTTATCGCTTACTTGAGTCTCAAGATACTTCTACAAACTATTTTAGACGATGGTACGATTAATTAGAGAAGCTTGATGGTGTTGGAGGTAAACATCTATTTTTGTGTCTGTTTAAATAACGATGTCAAGACATGTTCCAACAAGAGTGGAATAACGATATTAGGGTCGAAATCCTTTACTTACTATTCAGGTTTCCAGGTTCAAAGATATCTGGAGGCAATAAAAAAAACATGAACTAACGCCGGACATTAACATATTTAAGATGTGATTGTCATGATTTGCAAATGATGAGAGTTTCCCAATCTCCCTAAACAGAAAATACAACATGGCTTCCTTTTACAGTATTATAAGAATGACATCTTTACCCCAGTGCTTTGTAGTCAGGCCTTCTTATGGATGGATGATGATGTAATCTCCTATTTAAGAGAGTGAGTTAAAATTTAACGTCGCATCGGCATTTTTTCAGCCATAGCGACCAAGTTTATATATTCACAAGTGCTCTTATTTAAGCTGTCTCTATTGTTGTTTTATATATTCGCAAGAAAACAGTTTGTTTGTGAACTAATATTATAGTTTTGGTATTTTCCTACATGTGTTTAGGTGCGCTCATTGTTACACATTATGCCTTAATCGAACTTGATGTACTTTTGCTTTTTTAGCCATATCTGCGAATAAAATCTTTTTTAGTAAAACCTCGGGACCATTTATTTCGTTTTAAAAGCACATAATAGTATTTTTTGGTAAAACTTGATAAATAATTTGTACTCCGGTTTTACTTAAAATACAGTATTCCAATTATACCATGGCGCGTCAGCTTAATTTTGGAGGTGGAGGATTTTGAAGTGATGCAGAACTCAGACGTTTACCACTTTTGTGAAACCCTGGATGACAGTATGGTGCTTCAACCGGAATTCGAACCCACAGTCATAGGTTTCTGGAGTGGCCATGATTTAGTACGAATTCAGAGGAGGGAAGTCCTATTGCAACAAGATGCTCCTGTTGTTTGCGAGACCAGTACTGGTGATCCCTCTGTTTGTTGAAATCATAAAAGATCACTGTAATTTGATTGGACGTCTATTTTTAGCGTCGTGAGATTCGAACCCGCCTCAAACGAAGCTCAGGGTGTTTATCATAATGGAATGAATATGATTCCCTGGATCATCGAGGATGGAGTCGGTAAAATGCAAATGTTATTTTATGTTTGCGTGGGGTAGGTTAGTTAAGATTATTTGTTGTTTAACGCCGCAATATTCTAGCTATATGACGGCGATCTGTAAGGGAGTTAGTGAGTATGGTTTTACGCCGCATTTAGCAATATCCCTGCAAAATCACGGCGGGGGACACCAGAAATGGGCTTCACACATTGTACCCATGTCGGGAATCGAACCCGGGTCTTTGGCGTGACGAGCTAACGCTTTAACCACTAGGCTACCCGACGACGGCGGTCTCTAAATATTCGAGTCAGGAACAGACAATCCAGTGATTGATGTCATGAACATCGATCCACGCAAATGGGATGCTATGACATGCATCAACCAAGTCAGCGATCCTGACCACCCGACTCAGTTAGTCGGCTCTTACGACAAGCTAAGTCGCCTGTTACGGAAAGCATGGGTTGCTGTAGACCTATTCTACCCCGGATCTTCACGGCTCAATGTTGAAGATATGCACAAATATTTGTAACAGTTTTATAACAGACTTACAATGTTTATGTCGCATAAAAATGAGAGGGCTGAAAGTCGTGTTACTGTAATAAAATGTACGGGCAATACAGCAATGATTATCCACATGAAGAAAATCATCAAGGTCACACAATCACAGATAATGTTAGTTCTCACGAAATTTACATTATCACATGGCGAAGTCTGGTGATGATATATTTTACATAGATATGTTGTGTCACATTGTGACAGATATTGATAAGTGACGTCCTTGAATGAGCACTTAATTCATGCTCATGGTATTAATCACTGGTCCAAACACGATTATTTACAGACCGCCGTCATATAGCTGGAACATTGCTGAGTGCGGCGTTAAACAACAAACCAATCAACAACAACTTAATTCACACAGGCTGTTTAACTCCACGTTTCCCTGGAAACGGCTTTCTAGCCCTCTTTTTAAGACCCTGGGGTGGCCGAGGGGATTGGAACTTTGGTTTTTCATGTCCAATGAGATTCGAACCATCAATCGTCGTGACAGTCTTCAGCAGAGTCTCACTACTAGGTGGCGCGGGTTTCTTGACTGGTGGAGTTACCTCCTCTTTCTTTTTCATATTCCTGAGCTGAGTCTTGACAGGGGGAGCTGAACTCACCAGTTCATACCGTTTGCCCAAACCGTTGAACACCTCGTTGTAATCTTTTTCGTGTGACGTGGGAATGTCATCAGTTATCTCCCCTTTGAGATCGGTGAGTACAGAATGTCCAGAAGAACTACCATTTTCACTTTTTCGACTTCTTCCCGCCAAACCATCGGGTTCCAGGAGCTCTAGTTCCTCCTCGAGGTCTTTCTTCTCGCCCTGGCGTTGCTGAAGCAAATGTTCTTTATCAGTAATCTGTGTCCTCAGATCTTCATACGATCTAATAAAGTTTGGTCGAATTTCCATTTCCAACATATAATCCTGTGAGACGACATTTTGCTTGTAGACTAAAAGCTGTATCTCATTATCATATTTCATCAGCTTCTTATCCAGCCTTCTCAGCTTCTCCCTGTAATCAAAGTATTTCTCAGTTCCTCTGAAAGTGTAGGAATATTTCTGAGCAGTCACTTTTCTCTGAGCACGAAGCTTTCGACATTTCTCCTGAATCTCTTCCAGGTTAGCATCCACTTTACCGAATAAGATTTCCAGCATTTGGAACCTTCTTTCCCTAGAGTCCAGCTTCCTCAAGTCAACTTTGTGGTCAGCCAGATCCTGATCAAGCTCATGTATAGCATACGAGAGATCAAACAGGCGAGCCTTGATGTTCGTGACCCGATCTTGTTTCTGCTGTTTCTGGGGTTCAGGGACATGGATAAGATGTCCGAAGTCTTCATCTTCCACTTCGACTGCACCCGATGGGCTTGTCTCCGCTGATTCATCCACTTCTGGTTCTTGTTGAGTAGTCTCTGGGTTCTCTTCCTCGTTATCTCCAGATCTATGAGATCTCTCTCTGCATCTTGGCCATCCTCGAGACACAGGTCTCCTTAGAGGAAGTTTTTTGTAAATCTTATGTGCAAGATTCCACCATTGTTTGGACAGTTCTATAACTTTATAACATTTGGCAAAAATATCGGAAAGTAAGCGAAAGACTGCTTCAAATTTGGTATGTTCCTCACACTCCATCACTTCGTAATAACTCTCTGGGTCATAGTCCTCCAGATCCTGATCATCCTCCATCAACAACCTGTCCCACCTCTCGCTGACCTCCTCGAGTTCATTCACAGTCACACGGAGTTTTTCTTTTTCACTACCATCCAAATGCTTAGAGAAAGAAAAGCCAACCTGGGTAAACGAATCATCATATTTGCCCCTAGGAGAGTTATCTCCCCTTGGAGACACACTTCCTCGGGGAGAATTACCTCCATTTGGAGGCTTCAATGATGTCACCTGTTCATGTTTTTCATCAAGCTCTGACATGGAATAATTTCCGCTATCCTTGTCTTCCGGCTTACCCCCCTTTGTGCCGGCACTTTTTTTCTGAGACGGACTCCAGTCTGAAGGATCGAAGTAGTCATAATACAACACTGTGTGCACCTCTTTGTCGAAGCTCCCCTTTAAACACTTTATATGGTCCACGTCAACAAGGAAGTGCAGGAAGTACCTAATAGCTTGTCTCTCACACTCCAACAAACCGTTGTACTTGTCCTTTCCATGCATGTCACGGATCACTGCCCTGAGATGACCGATGCTTTTGATGACGGTATTGTTCTGAGTATTCCATGACGTCATCCGTTCCTGGACGGTGACCCTCCTGGCCACGATGCATAAATGCTGGTACAGCTTCTCCTTGGAGAACTTGGACATCCCGTAGCGGAGGAACCGCTGCATTGCGGCCACCTTGGCCTGGAACACATTGCCGTCGTCATCGCCAAGGTCAACCTGGAACACAATTCCACAAAATAAAAGACACATCTTTCATGTTGTTTGGCGTCGTTCCTTAACATTATCTACCTGTATAAACGTGTAAGAATTATACCTTCATTGGAGAAGCATTACATGAGCTTAACCTCAACCTGGAACACAATTCTACAAAATAAAAGACACATCTTCCATGTTGTTTAGCGTCATTCCCTAACATTATCTTCCTGTATAAACGTGTCAGAAATATCCTTTCATCAGAGGAGAAGCATTACATGGGCTTAACCTCAACCTGGAACACAATTCCACAAAATAAAAGATACATCTTTCATGTTGTTTAGCGTCATTCCTTAACATTATCTTCCTGTATAAACGTGTAAGAATTATACCTTCATTGGAGAAGCATCACATGGGCTTAACCTCAACCTGGAACACAATGAGGCCTTTGGCCTAAGTACAAAGTGAAATAAACATTAATAATAACATTCATATTTTACAAAACTGAGTTTGTCTTGGTACGCCTTCCATTACGTTCATGGGCGGTCGGTTAGCCTAGTGGTTAAAGCGTTTGCTCGTCACGTCGAAGACCGGGGTCCGCATCCCGACATGGGTACAATATGTGAAGCTCATTTCTGATGTCCCCCGCCGATATTGCTGGGATATTTCTAAAAGCGGCGTAAAAACATACTCACTCACCAATACGTTCATGTAAAGGCAATTCACCAATCCGTAATAAGGTGACTCTGTGCCTTTACTCTTTGGATTTCATATTTAACAGATACGGTCCTATACAAAAGGAATGCTTGATATTGGAGTACGTATCGAGAGAAGAGCAACTTTGAAAGATAGATTGCACATAAATATAATTTATCCTTCAATAAAGTTCATTTAGAAAGGCTGTTATTACCAACTCTCTGGGATTCCCAGAAGTCCAAATCCATAACAAAACAATAGCATCATTTGGATATCTCTCTTCCGGGAGCTTAAACCAGTATTTAACAACTCTTAAAGAGGAATCAACAAACATGTAATTTCTGCCACATTCAGCTTAAGTTGCAACATTTGTACATTAATAACTTATACCCAATACGGGGCGGTCGGGTAGCCAAGTGGTTAAAGCGTTCGCTCGTCACGCCGGAGACCCGGGTTCGATTCCCGACATGGGTACAATGTGTGAAGCCCATTTCTGGTGTCCCCCGCCGTGATATTGCTGGAATATTGCTAAAAGCGGCGTAAAGCCAAAACTCACTCACTCACTCACTATACCCAATACATCCGTGCAAAACCTAACATTAAACTGTTCGGCAACTGCCCATTTCTGCAAGGGGCGGTCGGGTAGCCAAGTAGTTAAAGCGTTCGCTCGTCACGCCGAAGACCCGGGTTCGATTCCCGACATGGGTACAATGTGTGAAGCCCATTTCTGGTGTCCCCGCCGTGATATTGCTGGAATATTGCTAAAAGCGGCGTAAAGCCAAAACTCACTCACTCACTCACTATACCCAATACATCCGTGCAAAACCTAACATTAAACTGTTCGGCAACTGCCCATTTCTGCAAGGGGCGGTCGGGTAGCCAAGTAGTTAAAGCGTTCGCTCGTCACGCCGAAGACCCGGGTTCGATTCCCGACATGGGTACAATGTGTGAAGCCCATTTCTGGTGTCCCCCGCCGTGATATTGCTGGAATATTGCTAAAAGCGGCGTAAAGCCAAAACTCACTCACTCACTCACTATACCCAATACATCCGTGCAAAACCTCACATTAAACTGTTCGGCAACTGCCCATTTCTGCAAGGGGCGGTCGGGTAGCCTAGTGGTTAAAGCGTTCGCTCCTCACGTCGAAGACCCGGGTTCGATTCCCGACCTAAAAGCGGCGTAAAACCATACTCACTCACCCACCCATTTCTGAAAACCCTATACCCCTATGCATATAGAACAATAGGCTTTATCTGAACATCAAACATTTTAAATAGAACCACCCGAGATATTTTCTGGTTGCAAAGAATTCAACTGAAGACTAAATTGCCTTTTTAACAAGCTTTTGAACTGCTTTGACCAAGAACGTCTGTTTGAAAAGAGCAATCCCAGATGATTATAATATGTTGAAATAGTTAACCTTCTATCTCCACAAGACCAACCAACCTTTTCTGAAAACCAACACTATCGTTGTATCAAAATAACACTATTTGGGGCAATATTGAGCAAGAATGTCAATCTGAATCTGATCAAATTGATGACAGAATCAGCAGTTACACAAAGCTCACCTGCATATAATAACAAATATATTTCCTAAATCTCAGGGCCAGACTCGATGTCATTGTGTAAATGATTGACAAATACTAGACTAAGTATTGAAAAGAGAAGCGGGCTTAAAATGCAACATTGACCAACCCCGCTGAACGAATCAAAATACTTGATAATTTAAGACTTTGGTTTTGGAACTTACCTTATAATATTACAATATAACCAGGAATATTACTCAAAACATGACATACCAAAGGAGATATCTGCCAGCTCAATCAAAGGCTTTACGAAAAGCAGCAAATTAACTATCAAAAGCGACTTTAGATTTGGACATTTGCTTCTGTGTTGCACTTTGCAATGTGAAAATGTTACCCATGGTGGAAAACCCTTTTCGAAAACCACCCAGACACACAGGGTACATATCAAACAAATCAAATAAGTACTTTGACACACATCCAGGAGAGATACTCCACGATAAATGGTTACATCAAGAAGGTTACCCTTTATGTAATGGAAATATTATACGTCTGGAGAAACTGCTCAGGAAAAACCTCCTTGATTTTAAAATACAATTAAATACTATTCATAGGTAAGATCTAGTCTCTGAAATGAACATATCGTACAGAAAAAAACATTTGTTTAGTTGTCTTAATAAAAATATAATGTAAGGGAGCCCAGTGACTCTCTTCATTTTCAGAATTTTCTGATACTGCAGTAATCTAGACATCTAGACTTGCCAAACATTATAGACTTGCATGGGCTGTATTTGATATATATTTGTATCAGGGTCTGTAAGACAGACTAAGGTAAGAGGAAGGTGCATGGCTATTATAGTTAACACCTCCAGCGGTGCACCATTAGAGCCAGGGCCCCGTTCCTCAAAGCGATCTTAGCACTAAGGTGGTCGTAGGTCCCATGCTTTAACATAGGCTTACGGTCATCGTAGCGCTAAGATCGCTTTGAGGAACGGGGCCCAGGACTTTTCAGTTCACTGAACCAGGATTCAATCTCTATCAAACTTATATCCTTATTGAACACGGTATTAAAGGTATCACTATTACAGACATCATAACTATCAGCCCGTCCTTCGTGGAACATTGGAAAGTGCGCTATAAATATTCATGATAGAAATACATGTCTATTAATTGTTTGTTTGTTGTTTAACTCCGGACTCAGCAATATTCCAGCTATATGACGGCGGTCTCTAAATAATCGAGTCTGGACCACACACGATAGTGATTGATATGATGACATGCATCAACCAAGTCAGCGAGAATGACCACCCGATCCCGTTAGTCGCCTCTTACAACAAATATGGATTGGGAATGACCTATTCTAACCTGGATCTTCACGGGTCACGTGTATATGAGAAAATAGGTAACAGCACTGCGGGGTGAAGGTCCGTGTCAGAGTTGGGTGTTAATGTGACATGGTCAACACTGAGCGCAGACACAATCATGAAATGAATAATATAAAATACCAATGCAAAAACATAATCCGCTGAAATAGATTCCATTTGGCGTAAAGGGCAAAATATCTATAATAATTATATGAATGGGCATGCCCATGGAATGGAATGTCCTGCCCTACCGGTAGCACCCGCCATTCAGACATTTTTTTTTTAAAAAGTGAGAGTTTGTTGCCTGAAGCCTCACATCAGTATCCCGCTATACGGCAGCGGCTTGTAATCAAACCTGACTATCAAGTGATAGATGAACCAGTGAGTGAGTGAGTATGGTTTTACGCCGCTTTTATAAATATTCCAGCAAATTACGGCGGGGGACAACAGAAATGGGCTTCACACATTGTACCCATGTCGGGAATCGAACCCGGGTCTTCGACGTGACGAGCGAATGCTTTATCCACTAGGCTACCCGACCGCCCACAGATGAACCAAGAAAATCCAGTGGCACGATATTCATCATCAGATACTCTGTTGCACTTATTATAAACTACATATATGTATACTCATATTTTATTTAGATATGTGCGATATTAATGAATGCTGTGTACCTTTTTTTTAATGTCCATGCTAAATATATATTCCCGAGATCAAATCGAAAGATTACTGAACTGTACACTGATTGCGAGTTGCTTTAATTTAAGGCAGTTTTTTCGTAAACCCAACGTTCCAAATTTTACAAACATGGAATACAATTATTGAAATTATGATAAACATAGCTGAAAATCGTTGTGCCGAACTTGAACATCTTCCCGAAACAAGAGAGTTAACTGACTTTAAAAGTCCAGTTTCCACCCTTGCCGTACCAGGCTGGAATTCCTGGGCTCGATCGTAGCGCCACCAGTGGCTGTTACGAGCTAAGTCAGATTCCACCTCTCGTATTTGCTTTAAACAAAATGGCGACGCCCAGTCAAGACGATCTGATCGACAATCTTACATCGTGAAGTGCTTCAAATCACGTGAGCATCTTGATTAAAAACTTGAAAATGATTTGGAAAATATCTGTTGACAACGAGTTGGCGGCGTACATGCTGTGCAAATCCTGCAGTCGACCGAAATCTGCATGACAGTTTACAAACCGGATTTCGATTTCGGTGCGCGATTTTGATTGGACTATGCATAGACTCGTTAGTCCAGCCAAAACCTAACTCCATAATACCAGCCTAGTTCGGCCAAACTAGACTTTTATAGTCAGTTAACTCTTTTGCCTCGGGAAGATGAACTAGAAGGGATCTAATAAAATGTTCGACACAGAAAACAGAAAAGAAATAGTATTTCCATTTGACATCGATGGTGATGCACGGTTCACGTATTTCAGTTCGACGTGTCAGGCCTATTTCATGACAACCGAAGGTTCAACAGACCCAATTCAACTCATCAGAGGTAAATTATAATAATTGAAGGTATCAGCCGAAACCGACAATCAGTTCGGTACAACCGAACATTCAATCCAAAGTGTTTAATGTTACAGCCAAAACCTCGGAGACGTGTTTTCTTGGATTATTTACCGCTTAAAACAAATTCGAAGCGTTAAATTAGTAATGTTTTTACAGAAATAATTATATGCCTCCTATCTGAAACCGGCTCAGCCGATCGTCATAAAACCAGATTAACATGGAAAGGGGCGCTCGGTCTTTTCCCATTCGTGACCAACTCGTGACCAACTCCGGGACAACTCCGGGACAAGCCGATTCTTCTTGCAGGTTACGAAAAGGGGCGAGTGGTGACGAATGGGTCTTTTCCCTCTCCTTCGTGTGTACATTTTCATCACATCAATTTTTGTCATCAGAAACCAATGTTGCACGTGCGAAATTGTCAAGAAGCTAGTTGAATCCACCTCTGTATACAAACCATTCAAGATTCTCTTATGCTCGATATTTGACATATTTAATTTATTCTGACATAGTTGATAGTTATTTGTCGGTAGGCAATATAAAGAAGACAACACCTCCTCGGTTTGGGTTGAGATTGTGAAAAAATACCAACCAAAACCTCGTACTCGTATTGTATCCTTTAATCAACAACAGACCTTAATGTGAGCGAAAACTGTATACTTTGCTGTACCAGTCAAGTCTGCATTATCAAAGTGGTTTATGTCAATATTCCATGTCAGTGTTTGCACTGGGCAAACATGGTGTTTGTACAATGAATTATTTGATAAAGTGTAACAGTGTTAGAAGCCTGTCAGAGGCCTCCTTTCAACCCAGGGGTTTAGCAGGGGGTCGGGTCACCAACAACAAATCAATATTCATTGGCATTCTTGATTGGCCATGTTAGACATGTCTACCTGTGTTATAGTAACTCTAGAAATGTATTTATTATCAAAATGACAGTGCACAGTGGCTTCAGTGCACTTGTGGATGACCCTGATTGAGGATTTGTGATTAGACAATGGTGTCAGTGAGTCTACACGGGTTGTGTGGATAATTCAGAAGTTCCTAGGAGCAAGGTAAATTGCAATTATTAACAATGTTTTTCTTTCATCATCTACATGTAAGGGAGAGTAACATTGTTTGAACAGACAATACGTTAATTGATTTCGTGACGGTTTATCACGAAGGCGAGCTGACGTGAGTGCACTTGATTCCGTACAAGGAGTAAGGTCATAGTCTGGTTTTATGGATGTTCGTATTGTCAGATGTTCACAAGACCATTTACTATTCGGGATATACCTGAGGACAAATTGTTTTTTCAAGCATTTTCGGGTACAGATTACACGGGGTGGCCCAATCGTCTAAGTCGCAGCAATTCGTTGTGCAGAGTTGCGTCCCTTTTGGTACGCCAGGAACCTATGGTTGTGGGTTCGCTTCGATTGTGTTTCTAGGTTTGTCAGCACCATATCCGTGCTCTTTGGTTTCATCAAGGTGGTAAACGTCAGAGACCTGCATCATTTCGGGATTCCCTCCCACGTAAAACTCGAATAATCATGTCAGTGTCACACTGAATTATAGAAATATATATATATATAAATGCCTAGCGTCCAAAGCGGCGTTAATCCAAACACACAAGGTTGCACTGGCACAGAGATCGGTGAGGTGAGGTGAAATGGGGTTTAACGCCGCGTCCAAGATTATTGTACTTATATAGCGACTTGCATAAACGTGTGTGTGTGTGTGTGTGTGTGTGTGTGTGTGTGTGTGTGTGTGTGTGTGGCTGCTTGTACTAGTCCGGACTGATGCCGATTTATAGTGATAGCACACTGAGATACCATGCCGCACTTTAACATGAATACCCCACTCAGATACAGTATACTGACTCCGAGCTGACCAGTCCTTGTTTTAGCCCCTTAATGCCGAGCGCCAGACAGGGTAACAACAAGTACCATCTTTCAACGTCTTTTGGTATGACTCGGCCGGGGATCAAACCCCGAACCTTCCGCTCTCCGGACGGACGCTCTACCACTAGACAATGGAGGCGGTTCACAAAGACGGGAATACGGATAGCCAGACACTGAGGACTAGAAGCTGATGCAAGCTGGTTGTTCGACATGTAAATAATATGTATGTATGTGATACACAATACCTATAGTATGACATATATACGTGCATATTCACAAACATGGAGGTAGACATGGAGGTAGAGATTCAGGTATATAACATTTCAACAGCTATGTCATGTCTGTCCCGAGGATTAATAAGGTGGAATGGGGTTGGCAGCTTGGGTTGTATACTCCCCAGGAGCTGAGAATGATTGTTGAGATTATTGACCGGGGTAATAAATGTCTAAGCGCTTAGAACATGCTTATGCGTGGAGTACAGCGCCATATAAATTGACTATTATTATTTTATTATTATTATTATTAATAATAATAATAATAATAATAATAATAATATTATTATTATTTTCAAATTATCCGTGACCTGTAAGTAAACTTACAATGTATTATTATTATTATTATTATTATTTTACATCACGTTAAAAAATATTGTACTTTTACAGCGATGTGCATGCACCTGTTTGTGATTGCTTGTACTGTTACGGACGAATGCCGGTTTTATAGTGATACCATGCCGCAGTTTAACATGATTACACTACTCAGACACAGTGCACTGACTCTGAGTCCATCAGTCCTTTATCCCCTTAATCCGAGCGATAGGCAGGGAAACAACAAGTACCATTTTGAACATCTTTTGGCACCACCGACCTTAAGTTTTCCGGGCAGACGGACTGTCTACTACACGACTGAGACGATCCGTGAAGTTTTCCATCAAGGCCGCTAAATAATTGGTATCTGGTGTTTTGATGCAACGCTTGTAATGGCTAAATTACATGCCATTGTTGCCGTAATATCAATCACTCACACACTGTGGTCGTGACAAAGGGAAGCCTTGAACTTCAACTTCTGACACAACAGGCAGCGTTTTGTCCGAATACAATAAAGTCACCCGAAACCTTAACGTCAGGGTTTCACGATATATAACAATGGTCCCGACTACTGCCTAGCCGGGGTTAATTTAGTAGAACGCTCTACTAGATGTCTGTATTGTATACAGAGGTCGTATAAAGATCCTGTTGAGGATTGATTTAGGAAACAACACGGTGGTTGTAAATTATGTCAGCTACAAAGGAAAGGCTCACCACTGGAGTGCGGCAGGGCTGTAGGCTACCTCCATAGTTCTTACCAGAAACGCAGCCAACATTTTTTAACGTCATTCATTATGCCTCGTGTTGACAGTCTCTTGACTGTTTTCTACTTGACTGATACGTACTGGCTTGACTCAGGTGTGCGACAGAGTTTCACGCTTTTTATTGAATCTAAACTTGTTTCTGAATAGTTTCTGAATACATGTACTCTGTTTTGAATTCTTGTATTCGTTTTATTAATCGTATCTTCATTCACCGCTGATTGTTGAATTATGAATTGGCTTGGTGTGGGTGAAAAGTGATCTAGCTTCACTTAAAGTATCCAATAAAATATTTATAGAAATATAAATGCCTATAGCGTCATGTCTGTGGTTTAGTACTTAAACGTCCTGATTACAATATGTATTTCTTTTGACATTGCAAGTTTACTTACAGGTCACGGAATTTTTTTTTTAATTATTATTATTATTATTATTGTTATTATTATTATTATTATTATTATTATTATTATAAAACAAAACACACTCACTAGCCATATTAGAGTTGTGCGATGAGTAAACGATTATCCCGACGATTGTACTTATGATACATGTAAAGAACTGGATTTGTTTGTTTGTTTGTTTGTTGTTTAACTCCGCACTCAGCTATATTCCAGCTATGTGACGGCGGTCTGTAAATAATCGAGTCTGGACCAGACAATCCAGTGATTGAGATCAGGATCAGCCTGACCACCCGATCCCGTTAGTCTTACGACAAGCATAGTCGCCTTTTACTGCAAGCACGGGTTGCTGAAGACCTATTCTACCCCTGATCTTCACGGGTCTTAAGAACTTGATCTTCAAACAAGTTGAAACAGTGCCCATAGACGTTTCATATCTCCATTGATGGCCTCCAAAAACATAAACAATGAAATACCGACCTTTAAAACGTCAACGATCTCCTGGATATTTTCCTGAGTGAATAAATTTCCACCCTGCTCCGACATTTCAACATTGTCCTGACATGCTTAGTAATGTCTTCTCGAGTTTGTTATCAACAACACGACAATTCAACCACAGCCACATGTTAGATCGGCTTGTCCCAAACCAGCAGAGGCAGTGCGCATGCGCCACAACTCCAGTTGATGTAGATTAAGTTAAGTTCAATAGTTGGAACTGGTATGTGTTTGCAATTGACAAATCGAATAATCAAGATTGTAGCTTGTAATTAGCGATATCGCGAGATCTCGGGCAAACGCCACACAATATACCTTGATATCCTGCGTGCGAGTAATGGCGTTGGCTTGCCGCTACTTGTTGGTCTGTAGACGTGAAAGTTGAACCAGCATAGCGGGGGGTTGCCTTCGATTGCGAACTTGTGTATGTGAGGCGCGATCGCTCGACTGTGAAATGGAAACAATGCGGGTGGCTACGGTGACACATAATGCATGCGATTTATAGTCAAATTCAAAAAGGTTTATTGTGTGAATATTGTTTGTTTGTTGTTTAACGCCGCACCCAGCAACATTCCAGCTATATGACGTTGGTCTGTAAATAATCGAGTCTGGACCAGACAATCCAGTAATTGATATCCAAGACTCCAAGACTCTTTGATTCTGTAATAAAGGCCTCCAGCCCAGAGCATATGTGTAGTAATTGATATCATGAGCATCGATCCAGCAATTGGGATCGATGACATGCATCAACCAAGTCAGCTAGCTAACACTGATCCCGTTTGTCGCCTCTTACGACAAGCATAGATGCCCTTTAAAGCAAGCATGGATTGCTGAAGACTTATTCTACCCCGGACCTTCACGGGTCTAGCGTTGCAAGTAGTAGACTTTGAATCTTTAAATGGAAACAATATGTCACTGCTATGGTGATGTCAGACCAATTACGTTAATCGGGGCAGGCACATTTGTTTGTTCCTGACTTAGCAATATTCCAGCTATATGACCGCGGCCTGTAAATAACGGAGCCTGGACCAGACAATCCAATGATTGATATTGGGAGCAACGATCTACGTCGTCAGGGTATGATGACACGCAATCAACCAAGCCCTCGAGTCTGACCACCTGATCGTTTTGATCGCTTGTCACGACCAGCAGAGGTTGTGGGGCATATTTGAATCAAGTGCAGTTGGTAGAATGAGGAATACTGCTGCATGCGTGTGGTGATGCTGCTATCTAAATGATGCACTGATTTAAATGTTTCAACTTAATAATGAATCATTATATTGACGTTAAAACTGGCGTATCATTTCATATTTTAAAGATTTCACCATGTCTCCCTTGCAGATTAACTGAATGGGTAGTCCGTCACCAGATCAGATATTTCACACACACCTGTGAACGGACAGAAAAGTTTAAACGATGTGAATCTTTAATGTGAAAATGATCGTGTGAACTTTCGCCGGAACTACTTTCCAGGGTTCCCCGAACTCTCGGTGTTTACAATCAACTCGTTTTTCTATTTTATCTTCCATTTTTAATCCCCGCATTTATCAGCATCATAATTAATTTAGTATTATTTCCCTGGTCTTGTAACATGTTATCTGACTTAAACATAAAGGAATTTGTTGTCGTATGCTAGATGAAACAAAATGGATTGTCCTTACGGTGATATTGATGATCGCAAGCTTGGTGCTTCACGCAGTTTAACCAGCGTTTAAATCGTTCACACTTCGATGAACCCATCCGACCTGACGTTCAATTCTTAAATGTCGAATAGGAAGCTTTTTAGGTTTAAGATGTAGCCAAATATCGTATGTGCAGCTGCACGTATATAACCAACTGCATGAATATAGACTAGGTATATGTATATAGACCAGCTGCATGGGCTCTATATGACCAACTGCATTTATACAGATTAGATATATAGTAAACTACGGTTATAATTTTAGTTCGTTATAACCGTAGTTCGTTATAAGCATATATACAGCATATATATAGCAAACGGTCGGGACCTAAAAGAGGTCGTTATATCCGCCAGTTCGTTATAAGCGTGTTCGTTATAAACGTATAGCCTATTGCTATGTAACAATCTGCCACAAGAAATCCGAGAAACAGTAAATCTGACAAATTCAAAAGACACTCAAGACCTGTTTCTTCAAGAGAGCCTTTGACAAGATCAATCCTGGTCTAAGCGCACTGAGCAGTTGTTAATTGCAAAATTCGCGTTACAAATTCTTAACTTAATTTAATTTAAATTAAAAAAAAGATAAGTGAGCACATTGTCAATCTCGAGTCATATGCAGACTTGTTAAATCATCCAAAAACTCTCGTGCAGAGCACCTACTATCTCACGAGCTTCCACTCGAAATGTCCCTCTCTCACATCGCCATTATGTGAATCGATCTCAGGTGTACATTACACACGCTGTTTTCTACTGAGATCAGCTGTTTAGGAAATTTAGTTGGGGTCTTATATTACAACTTGTTTCTAATAACAACTCATCTTCATGAAGGCAAGTATTGGGTTTAACATAGTATTACTGAAAACCACGTCAATACACGCACCTGTACTTACATAATTGCTGCCCCGTGAAGATCCGGTGTAGAATAGGTCTTCAGCAACCCATGCTTGTCGTGAGAGGCGACAAACGGGATCGGTTGGTGAGGCTTACTGACTTGGTTGATACATGTCATCGTATCCCAATTAGGTAGATCGATGTTTGTTATGTCAATCACTGGATTGTCAGGTCCAGACTCGATACTTTAAGACCGCCGTCATATAGCTGAAATATTCCTGAGTGCGACGTTAAAAAACAAACACACCAAACTAAACATAACTAAACATAACTAGTTTGAAACAGTTTCATTGAACACCCGCATCTGTCTTCATAACCCATAGTATTACTGAAAACCACGTCAATACACGCACCTGTACTTACAGAATTGCTGCCCCGTGAAGATCCGTGATAGTATAGGTCTTCAGCAACCCATGCTTGTCATAAAAGGCGACGATGTCTGTCGTAAGAGCCGACTAAAGGGATCGGATGGTCAGACTCGCTATCTTGGTTGATGCATGTCATCGCATCCCATTTGCGCGGATCGATGTTCATGATATCAATCACTGGATTGTCTGGTCCAGACTCGATTATTTACAGACCGCTGTCATATACCTGGTGTGCGGCGTTAAACAAACACACCAAACTAAACATAACTGTTTGCTTCCGTGAACGTACATTTACCGATGATAAAATGCATGTTTTCTTTACAGAAAGGGTTATTAGTCCATTGAACGCCCGCATCCATCTTCATAACACAGTCACACCGAGTGAATGGCGTTCTCTTTTCGTGTTAACCAGCCAACTCCTGATAAAACGTATTCGCATGAAGAGAAAAGTGGGAATACACGACATAATATGTAACGTCCAGTTCTAATTCTCGCTCATGCATTCTTAATATATTTGTTTATTTGTTTTATAACTCTGCATTCAGCAATATTCCAGCTATATGACATAAATAATCGAGTTTGGACCAGACAAACCAGTGATTGCCATCACGAGCATCAATCTACGCAGTTGACATGCAATGATATGCATTTGTCACCGAGCCTGACCACCCGAAACCGTTAGTCGCCTTTTATGACAAGCATGGGTTGCTGAAGACCTATTCTAACCCGGATTTTCACGGGGCAGCTTATTGTTCATGTTAATGGTGGATTTTGGTGAAGTTTCACGTAGTGTAGAACTCTTTTAAATAGTGAAGCGCTGTTTCATATAGTGTGGCATTGTTTCACATATTGTATCACTGTTTCACAAAGTGTATCACTGTCTACACAGTGTAGTACTGTTTCACATACTGTAGCATTGTTTCACATACTGTAGCACCGTTTCACATAATGTAGTACTGTTTCACATACTGTAGTACAGTTTCACATAGTGTAGTAGTTTCACATACTGTAGTAGTTTCACATAGTGTAGTACTGTTTCACATACTGTGCATGTAGTACTGTTTCACATAGTGAAGCATTGTTTCACATACTGTAGCACCGTTTCACATAGTGTAGTACTGTTTCACATAGTGTAGCTCTGTTTCACATAGTGTGGTACAGTTTCACATATGTAGCACTGTTTCACATAGTGTAGTACAGTTTCACATACTGTAGCTGTTTCGCTTAGTGTGGTACAGTTTCACATACTGTAGCACTGTTTCACATAGTGTAGTACAGTTTCACATACTGTAGCACTGTTTCAAATAGTGTTGTACTGTTGCACGTAGTGTAGTACTATTTACACATACTGTAGCTCTGTTTCTGTAATTACAATTAGTGTAACACTGTTTCTCATGGTACACGGGGTCAACACCCTTCACCAATGTGTTTAACATCTAAACCGGGGGGCACGGGTGGCCCAGTCGTCTTAGGTTCCGCGATTCGCTGTGCAGAGTTGAAGTCCCTTAGGCACGCCAGAAACCTATGATTGTGGGTTCGAATCCCGGTTCGCCCCGATTATGTTTCTAGGTTTGTCAGCACCATACCCGTGCTCGTGGGTTTCACCGAAGTGGTAAACGTCTGAGACCTGCATCACTTCGGGCTTTCCTCCCACATTAAGCTGACACGCCGTGATATGACTGGAATACTGTTAAAAGCGGCGTTAAACCAAACTCACTCACTCACTAACATCTAAACCCGCTTTCATTTTACATTAGGCTCCGCTCATTGATTCCCACTGTGTTCAGCACAGTTTAATGTTCTTCACAGTCCTATCTCTTACCTGACTCATTCAATCTCGTACAAGTCATGTTTTCATCGTTTACATGATATATCTCATCTCATACCGGATGTATTTATCTTATCTTTAAGTGACAGTTTCCACGCCGTAGTAATGATCAATGGACACGGGTTGTTTTATGGATCTCGGCTTCTTACATTCATTTCCTGGAACGTTTGATACAGGTGCTCATACCTTTTCCAAGCAAGTCATCAACAACTGAGCAGGCATGGTCATGTAGCTAGGGGTTACCTCATCCTCTCCATCTCCGGGGCTCGCATTTCGGTACACCTACACTCACCCATGGACCCATCCCCGTGGTTCTCTAAATCTTAAATGACCTGCCCTTGGTTTTCAATAACATTTTACCGATCAATCAACGTCGAGATAAGGAAAAAGAAAATGGGCAAGGGAGGTAACTCGTATTGACACCCAAGCCACCGCAAGTTTTGATAGACAGGAAAACATCCTTTCCGTCAAAATGAATTTTTGAGGGCTTTCTTTTGCGTGTTAGTCAGTTTTTCAACGTTGAACTTCTTGCAAACTTTATCGTTGCCAGTGGGACAGGCCGCCATGTTGTTGATGTCACCAACTCATTATTGGACTGGTTTGTAACTCGCATTCTGATTGGTCCGTTAGAACTTGATTTCCTTTAGCCAGATGGGGCTCCGCAATTTTGTTTGAAGCAAGTGCAAGTAAAAGGAGGGGCTTAGAAGGGAGATTACTCGTAATAACCACTGGTGGAGCTACGATTGAGCCCAGAAGTTCAATCCTTGTTCGGCAAGGGTGGAAACTTGACTTTTAAAGTCAGTTAACTCCCTCACCCCAGGAAGATGGCGGTGATGATGGTGGACAGGGTAGAGACCGGTGTTGGATTGTTTGTGGTTTGACCTATGTGTGGGGGGCATTCAGTGAATGGTGAAGCTGCTGTCGCTGTACTCTGGGTGATAAATGATTTGATGGTACTGTTGACGGATGTGGCAAGGTATCCGTTGTATGCCGTGAACACCTGCTTAAGGTAATCTAATTCCCGTTGGAGGGATGTGGGTATTGAACAGGTGTTCTTTACCTGCAGTCTTGGTCTGTGGGGGTGATTGGGCTTGTTCTTAATTTATTGGTCATCATGGGCGGGTCATCATGAGTGTGTTGTCTTGCTTGTAGATAAGGACGTCCAGGTAGGGAAGCTGGCTGTTTGATTTTGTCTCCATGGTGAATTTCAGCCTCCGGTTCTGTTAATTGAGATGTTCCAGTGAGGTGGCGATGTCTTTCTGGTTTTAACATGGCAATGGTGCCATCTACTTTCCTGTACCAACAGATAGCGTAAACGGGGATTTCTATAAGGCGGTTTCTTCTGAGTGGGTTATGTTAATGATGAAAGAGGTGGTCGCATGGGCAGGGCGTGTATTCGTTGGTAGATCTTGGATGCTGGTGTCTGTGGACAGTTTGATATCGATGGGTTATTTGGTGTCAAATCTGGAAGCCTTCCAAAGCAACCCGTTCCAGACTAGCCAACACCGAATCACCGTCTCACCATTGGATCAGCCCCCGTCCTTGCCTCCGATCTAAAAAACAACACACTCATATGGTGAGGTGAAATGGGGTTTAACGTCGCGTTCAAGATTATTGCACTTATATAGCAACGTGCATGTACGTATGTGTGTGTGTGGCTGCTTGTGATAGTCCGGACTGATGCCGATTTATAGTGCTAGCTCACTGAGATACCATGCCTTAGTTCAAAATGAATACCCCACTCAGACACAGTATACTGACTCCGAGCCGATCTGTTTCGGTAGATGTATTCGTGACTGATTATTCCCTGCTGTTACAGTTATGGATTACTTCATGTAGTTTATATGTCAGGACAATTAATTCAGGCGTTAACGGTAGTGGCACACAGAAACAGATGTATTCTCTAGTGCTTGGCTGCAAGACGTTACTTGCCCTTAAACTGACGCATCATTGATGTATCACAAGTACGATTTTACGTGCACTTCCGCCACGGGAGCGACACACAGAAACAGAAGTATTCCCTAGCGCTTTGCTGCAAGATGTTTAGTGGCTTTAACTGGCGCATCATTGATTCATGCACAAGTATGATTTTACGTGCACTTCAGCCACGGTAGTAGCGCACAGAAACTGAAGTATTCGCTAGTACTAGTGCTCAGCTGCAAGACCTTCAAACTATAAACGTGGCTTTAACCGACAGTTCATTCGTCCATGCACAGTTATTATTTTACGTGCGCTTCAGTCACATTATCACCTCTCCTGCATGCCGACCTCACAGCAACACCCAGCCAAGACAGTTTCCACCGATCAGGTTCCACCTTAATCGTGTGCTACAACGTGTACTGTAGAACTCTTCAGGGATCCCCATATACGCCTCTGTACATTGTATCGGAGAGGTCAAAGAATAGTGCGTGGTTTTCACCACGAGTGATTTATATATATTGAACTAAACAAAAGAAAGTTTGAAAGCTTGATTTGGACAAATAATTACTAACGTTATCAAATTGCTAGTGGGCTGTGAACAGTGGCCAAAACAGAGTGAGAGAGACCGAGTACGACCACCCTACACACTACCCCCACCCCCACCACATAACTTCCACTTTTAGTATTCAATGCAATCATAGAACAGGAATATAAATTATAGGATTTTTTATTGTTTGATTGTGTATTCGATTTCAACAGAAATTTTATTTCTTGTCTCGTCGTTTGCTTCAATTGGAGTAATATTTCTGTGTATAGAAGAGAAATCTGAAACAGAAAATACACACGTTACTGTCGACTGTGGTACTATCAGTATACATACTGTCACTAATTACTGAGGTGTGAAAACGTGTCACTATGATGTCAATGTTTAACAAACAGTTGCAGTGACGCGTATTGTTGGTAGAAGTTGCGAAAGCGTAGCTCAAACAAAGTACTGTGTTATTTAATATACTAATAAGTCGTGGATGTTGTAGCGAGGATAGAGGCAGTTCTTGTGACACGGGTCAGTGTGTGTGAGAAAGTGTGTAAGAGTGTGTGTGTGAGAGTGTGAATGTATGATAGTATGTGTGTGTGTGTGTGTGTGTGTGTGTGTGTGTGTGAGCGTGTGTGTGAGAGTATGTGAGTGTGTGTGTGTGAGTGTGTGTGAGAGTGTGTAAGAGTGTCTGTGAGAGCGTGTGTGAGAATGCGTATGAGAGTGTGTGTGAGAGAGTGTGTGTGAGAGAGTGTGTGAGAGCGTGTGTGAGAGAGAGAGAGAGTGTGTGTGTGTGTGTGTGTGTGTGTGTGTGTGACCGTGCGTGAGCGTGTGTGTGTGTGTGTGTGCGTGCGTGTGTGTGTGAATGTGTATGAGAGTGTGGAAGAGTGTGTGTGTGAGAGTGTGTGAGAGAGTGTGAGTGTTGGGGGGCACGGCAATATCGATAACGATCAAGCAAATAACGCAGTTTGAGGTACTTTCATCCGCCTCATGGCAGATCTTTACTTCTTCTTTTTTAAATTTGGAATGTTGCCAAAGTGTATTCTGAACTTGCTATAACTGCATAGACGTTTTATTGTCACTCACAAGCAGTTGATTATGGTCTGAAACAACGTAATCCATGTAGACGTATCTTCACCTATGTGTGACATGGGGTTTAATGCCGCTTTTAACAATGCTTCATATGTACACCAACCAAATAAATGGGATTCGAACCTTCCATTCAATGATAGATATGGAGCAACAGCTCAGGCCAACTCATGTGTCTGTTCTGTATTCTACTGTCTGTAATTTCTAGGGTCATGTGTCACAGATCGTACATTCTTGTCCCGGTGGGGACCCGGGGTAAATGTGACCCCAGCACCCAATTGCTATAAAAAAAAGTCTGGAAGTTAATTTAAGGTAACGACGTTTACAACCATATCTGAAAAGCTATTGGACTATTGCGTGCGTGATTCCCGTGCATCCTTTCGAGTTGAGTTGATTGGTTCAAATGTGTCATATGGCCCTGAGACGCACGGGTAGCATTATGCAGATGGCTGTTACAATGAATGCTCGTTCCACCCGTGACGAACAGGTCTGGTTGTTGATGAAATATAGTGATAGCTAAATAGACAGACTTTTTATTCATGCACCGATTGTCTTTAAATGTAATATCCAGTTATGTATAACTGTTTAATAATCTCATACCATCTTTGACTGGAGTAGGTCCCATAGTTTTTCAGATATTGTAGTAAACGTCGGTACCTTAAATTAACTTCCAGACAAAAGTCGTAGATGCGATTTTATTGGGAATCTGTGATTATTTCGGGATATAATTGGTCAATACAAACCTATGCTGATCGTAAGAGGTTTGTTTGTTTGTTTGTTATTTAACGCCACACTCAGCGATATCTCAGCGATATTCTAGCCCGGATCTTTACGGGTCTCGTAAGAGGTGACTTAGTAGATCGGGTGGTCATGCTCGGTGGCGTTGGTTATTGCGTGGCAACGTCGCCGACGACGTAATATCAATCACAGGAATGTCTGGACCAGATACGATATTTACAAGCACACGCACACACGCACGCTCACGCGCACGCACATTCGATATGACTTGATATGTACGTTTTTGTGGCTGAACAGACCAGGAACATTTTAGGATCTTCTCTCCAAATCTATATGCATTGAAATATTAGTGTTCTGTACTTACGAGGAACAGATCTTGGGACATGCCTGCACGGGGATGGTGCGGACGGTGTTGAGACACGCCCCCTTGCACTGGTCCTCAGTGGCGTCCGATCCCACCTGGTTGACGAGCTCCGCGATGCCCGTCTTCAACTGGGAGTCCGTCATTATTGAGGACAGGTCTAAAGAAACAAGGTGTGAGTCTTAACCCCATTAGATTTTATTTATAGAGTCAGCTTGGTCGGTTATAATGCAATACCTTCACAGAATGTCAGCAATGACGTGGCGTCATGCCGCTATAATCTAGCTGTTATTAAATTATATTAAAACTGTATGTCAACAGTAACGTCACAATATGTCAACAATAACGCCCCTTTATTGCAGCAATAGCGTTACTTTACGTCAGCAATAGCGTCACTTTATGTCAGCAATAACGCAACTTTATAGTTTATAATACGATAACGTCCCTTTCTGTCAGCAATAACGTCCCTTTATTGCAGCAATAGCATCCCTTTCTGTCAGCAATAGCGTCACTTTATGTCAGCAATAAAGTCCCTTTATTGCAGCAATAGCGTCACTTTATGTCAGCAATAACGCCACTTTATAATACAATAACGTCCCTTTCTGTCAGCAATAGCGTCACTTTATGTCAGCAATAAAGTCCCTTTATTGCAGCAATAGCGTCCCTTTCGGTCAGCAATAACGCCACTTTATAATACAATAACGTCCCTTTCTGTCAGCAATAGCGTCACTTTATGTCAGCAATAACGTCCCTTTATTGCAGCAAAAGCACCACTTTATGTCAGCAATAACGCCACATTATAATACAATAACGTCCCTTTCTGTCAGCAATAGTGTCCCTTTATGTCAGCAATAAGGTCACTATATAAAAGCAATAACGTCACTTTATTTCAGTAATAACGTCACTCTGTGTTTATCATTAAAGTCAGACAATGTCAATACCAAAGCCACGTTATGTCCGCAATAACGTCACTTTTATGCCAGCAATGATGTCAAATATTGTCAACGTCACACAATATATCATAAAGACTTTCACATGGAAATAGCGTCAAAGAATGTCGGCACAAATGCCAAGACAATACAAGACGATACAAGACAACTAACTCACCCAAGTCAGAGCACTGTTTACTGCAAGTTGACACTGCGGTGTATCCATACGCCTCGCCTTCTCCCCTGGAATAGCCGTAAACCTGGATAGCACATGGACTGCTGGAGGCGACACTGTCCACCATGTGTGAACCGTACGCCACCTGCATCCTTGCAACGGAGTAGCCGAGTTGAGGGACTTTTTGCCATTGGACACCGGTCAATGGTTTCTCATCAAGCCGGACATCTTTAGTGTGAGCCGACGACGTTACCAGGGTGATGTAATTTTCATAATTCTCATAATTTTGCATCCCTATTGTCTTTTCCATGGTAACGAAAACATATCTTGACCCAAATTTTGCGATACCCGGATAGTGTTCTACTGGTCGAACAAGGAGGGCCATGGGGTCGGGTGGTCAGGCTCGCTAACTTTGTGGATGCATGTCAACGTGTCCCAGTTGCTGGGATATTGCTGGGAGCGGCGTTTAACAACAAACAAAACAAACTGTGCTGGTAATTTCGCCATATACTGTCTTGCTAGTCGTCTTTTCAGCTGTTCAATTCTTTGGCATTTAGCAATTTTACCGATTTTAGGAATCATTCATTATTATTTTGGTAAATTTACATAACTTTCTTGGTGCTTCGTGCTGTTGCTTGAAACTAGACATGTCAATGTATGATTGAACGTATAACAATATTCACGTATGTATTGATATTTATAGAGAGCCAATAATTCAATTAGGATTTGAACGTCAGTTTGGATGGGTTTATTGAAGTGTGAACCATTTAAAAGCGCTGGTTAAACCTCCGAGCGCTTTTAAATGGTTCACACGTCAATGAACCCATCCAAACTGACGTTCAGATCTTATAATTTCATACTTTATAGTCTCGCTGAATAATATCGTAATAATGTTAGCTGAAGTTTGAAATCCTCTGGTTTTGCCGAAGACCATTGCAACAATGTTATTTTGTCGGTATTTACCAGCTTTCAGTCGCATAAGTTTCCCTACTCATACTCAGTTACGCAAAGAAAAATAGTTCTTTGAATATATACAACATAACCTGAAAACATCAACATAATTTTATTCTCTGAACAAATTGACAAACAATATTTGGGATTAATCAAATCTTAAAAATAGGCAACAGGAAAGGGATCACAAATATAAACATAACCTTGATGCACCCAGGCGAGGTCAACCTTCAAGCGCGGATTTACATATGACGTCACTTAAGTTTGAAAAGAGGTGCATTAATTTTCGAATCGAACGGGAGCAGCAGAGGATGAAATTTATACTTACTGCTGTTGAAAAGGAAGTTTATGGAACAGTTATGGAAATCACCCCGACGCATGAACCCTCCCATGGCACTAGCAAATTGAGAATATCACTGATTTATGTATGTGTTTCTTGTGTTTGGATAATCGCAAACCAATTCGGACGAAACTTGTGTGGTTTGTGTTAATTTTCAACGTCAGAGTGTGCTTGGTGTATTTGGAGTTTCCTTCTTGTTTTATTTTTGAGCTTAATTGTTTTAAGGGGTGGAGGGGGTGTTGTATTTGAGTTTGTTTGTTTGTTTGCTTTTTGCTTTTTTTGCTCTTTTTTTTTTGGGGGGGGGGGGGGGGGGAGGGGGTGCGTGTTTTATTTGTTTGGAGGGGGAGGGGGGTAAGTTTTTGTGTGTTTCTTTTGGGTTAGCGTGTTGTTTTATTTGGGGTTTTTTTGGTGGTTTTACTTTCGGTGGGAGAAGGCTTCCGACGAATTTTTTTCTATTACAAAAGTACAAAAGTATGGCACTCTGACTAGGTCACTATGTCACTGTAATTGACCTCGACGTGTCAACCCACCGCCCAACACGTGCCACATGCATGCTGATTGCATGACGTATCTACAAAACAGGCCATGTGGCCGTCTGCAGCACAATGTGCTAATCGTTAGGAAGGCGCGAAATTATTTTAGTTACGTTCAATAGTTTTCAGTCTGTATGTCCTAACGATTTTCTTTATATAGATTACACCATTGCCTGTATTCATCCATTAATCGTGAGTAATTGAATGTGCCTTTTGTTTGTTAACATCTCCATACATCTGGTTAAACGGCACAGGTGAACTAGAGGCCTTGGCGCAGCTTGTCACTGACGCTGCAGAGTTAATCCGAACAAAGTAAAAACATCCCGATTATCGTTGTTTTTTATTGACTTGTATCTATTGATTGTAAATCTACTGAAAAGCATGTCATTGGAGAATCTGTAGGCCTGAGAAAAGTTTATTTTATGGTTAACAGAAATAAGCTATACAATGTGGTTTCTAGCAACATTATACGGATCTGGATAGCCCTACATTTGTATGATGTGATCATCAGGTGGACGAGTGAAACTAGTCAATTCAATGTCAACGTGGGTTTGTACTGCCCGACATTATCCATGGGACTTAGCTGAGCTGATCGTTAATATGGCAACAATGAGTTTATCATCGAGCGATTTTGTGAATATTGCTTAACCTGCATCAGTAAATCGGCAGATACTTCAACTTGTGCAGTCTAGGTAACTCTAGGGAGGCAACACCGTCTAATTGTCGCTACGAAGATTACATTCATGATGCTGTGCAAATTTTGTTATGGATTGGACATCTATTTTTCTATGTGGTAAATACTATTCCATCACACGTATGTGGATTTTGGAACACTAGGTGAGGTGAGGTGAAATTGGGTTTAACGTCGCGTCCACGATTATTGCGCTTATATAGAGACGTGCATGAAAGTGTGTGTGTGTGTGTGTGTGTGTGTGTGTGTGTGTGTGTGTGTGTGTGTGTTTGTGGCTGCTTGTACGCGGTCGGGAATCGAACCTCGGACCTTCCGCTCTCCGGGCGGACGCTCTACCACAAGACCACGGAGGCGGTCTTTGGAACACTTAAATTCCTTGTCAGAGATTCGTTTGTTTAAACGTAATAAACTATCTATGTAATATCTACAGATACATCTACTATGGCAAGTGTTCAGTAAGTACTCGATGTCAGCTCTAGCGTTAAGGGGGCCGGTCGGGTAGCCTAGTGGTTAAAGCGTTCGCTCGTCACGCCGAAGACCCGGGTTCGATTCCCGACATGGGTACAATGTGTAAAGTCCATTTATGGTGTTCCCCGCCGTGATATTGCTTGAATATTGCTAAAAGCGGCAACGCCATTCTCACTCACTCAAGCGTGAAGGGTAACTTTGGTCACTTGACCTGCATCATCGCGTATTAATTAACATCTCATGGTTCTGTCACGGTTGTGTATCTTGAAACAGGCCTGTCTCTATTCTTGAACCCGAAATAGTGTTGAAAGCTAGTGTATCTCGTCCGCACATGGTCAATATGAAAGACGGTAATAGCCCTCGTGTCTCTCTTATATAGGTACAACCAGCCTTCTAGAAACTGTCCCATCCCGAAACTTCTCACACGATCAGGCCTGTCATGTTAATTTATATAAAAAGGAGAATAACTCTGAATTACTCTCGCTACCGCAGACCGCTAAAATCTCACCACGTCAGCACTCGACATTTTACTAGCACTGCAATCATTTACTGCCACTGACCATTGCCACAAATAGGCTACTGTCACATAACACATATGCACGTTATCGTGAAAACGTTTTAATTATTTTAAATTTGGTTAGAGAATATAAGAGATAATGTTTAAAACAGCAATCTTCAACACTGGAATTGCATTGCTCGCAATACAAAAGGCGTAATCCTAATTGAATACGACAGTACTCACAACCACACCGATGTTACGTTTGTTTTGTGAGTGTACGCGGTCAAAACGTCCTTAACCAATAGACTATTACACGGAAACAATGACGGTTCCTAAGAAACCCGAATCACTATCTGCGCTACAACCTGCTTGCTTCAAAATGTATTTGTGGCTTTGTGTTACTTGTTTAGACATGTATTTTTACAGGTGAACAATTGACTTGCCTTTGCATGTGTTTGTGATGGGTGCCACCGGTGGTGCAGGATACGCTCACCTTTTTAAACTATGATAACGCGCATTTTAGGGTTGGTCTGTAACACTACGTTTACAAAAACCTTATTATTAGTCATTTGCACAGGTCATCTCCGCCTGTCTGGACAAGGCGACAAGGCGACACCTACCAGGTAGTGTCGCCAAGGGAGGTAATTCTAGTTTGCTTAGGTGACTCATATTTTCACAATTCATCGTCTGGAACGACGACAAGGCGACACCTATCAAGTGGTGTCACCAAGGGAGGTAATTTTCGTGTACTTAGGTGATTCCTATTTTCAGAATTTACCGTCTGGAACGACGACAAGGCGACACCTATCATGCAGTGTCGTCAAGGGAAGTAACCCATGTCACCTCGCCACCTACATACATGTAAGACTATGCACATCGTCAGTACTGTATGGGTTTGTTTCCATTATGTTCATCAACCATCCGTGAAGAAATTGTATTAATGACGCGTGTCTATTTCTGATTTTTCTATCCCTTGGGTGAAACCTCCGAGTAAACCTAGAACACAATCATGGCGAATCTGGAATTCGAAAACACGATCACTGGTTTCTGCCGCGCCTAAGGGACGCAACTCTGTGCGAGTTGCAGCGCCACGGGCCACACGCCCATGCATGACTTTGCTGGCAGCCTGTTTTTGATAAGCGCTATCGTTACATGGTCATATGAAGACCGCATATGTGCATGGTAATTTAGTAGAAGGAAAAAAGAACAATAACTCTAGTCACACCATTCCTATTTAACAAACGAACAATACCACAGGCTCCCGCCTTCTGTCGTTACCTGTGATCGAGGAGATAATGTTGACGTTTCCACATAAGATGACGATAAATGCTATGTTGAACGCCGCCATCTTGAATGTTTCTTATCATTTGCGGTGGGTGACAAGACAAATGATTTTAGAAAGTTTAATTCGCCTCATAAGATCGCAGGGTGATAGCGACATAGTGAATTAACGATAAAACGTTCTAGCAGCTGATTAAGCCACACTTACACAGAGCATGCAGTAGTTATACGTCAGGGCGATGTTATTTACAACGTAAGGGTGGCTTATACGCTCAAGCGTTCGTTTGTCACGCTGAAGACATGGGTTCGATTCCCATCTTGATTTTTCCTCCGTATAAGAGATGGACATTTGCTAAAAACGACTTGAAAGTAGCCACTCATTCCCTTACTCTTTTACTATGCTGGTGATCCGTGAAGATCCGGGTTAGAATAGGTCTTCAGCAACCCATGCTTGCAAAGCGGCGACTGTGCTTGTCGTAAGAGGCGACTACCGGGATCGGGTGGTAAGGCTCGCTAACTTTGAGGATGCATCGATTATGTCAACTTGTCCCAGTTGCTGGGATATTGCTGGGAGCGGCGTTTAACAACAAACAAACAAACTATGCTGGTAATTTCGCCATAT